CTGCCTATGTAACCCAAATGTAACTGCTCATGTAACCCAGGTCAAAAGTGGGCTCTGGTTGTGACTATGTTTGTGTCGGAGAAAACTCACCGACTGGATATGAGATCTGGACCAATATGTAGCCGTTGACCACGGTCTCTGCAATTATTCAAACACTAACATGTTTCTAAAACAGGCAGTGGTCACGAACAGTCGTACGGAACTGTAGTTTCTGTGAAGGTTGACAATCAAAGCCTTCCTTTTTTTTCAGCCTTTGCAGAAGAAAAGGAAACTGCTCTCTTGACATCGACAACCTCCTCTCCAACAACACTGACGACAACCTCCTCGCCAACAACACTGACAACAACACTGACGACAACCTCCTCTCCAACAACACTGACGACAACCTCCTCTCCAACAACACTGACAACAACACTGACGACAACCTCCTCTCCCACAACACTGACAACAACCTCCTCTCCAACAACACTGACAACAACCTCCTCTCCAACAACACTGACAACAACCTCCTCTCCAACAACACTGACAACAACACTGACGACAACCTCCTCTCCCACAACACTGACAACAACCTCCTCTCCAACCACAACTGCATTTAAATTAACAACCCAACAACCATTAACTACCAGTCAAACCAACAAGGAAACTGTCAGCCCGGTCAAGTACGTTCTAGGAGGTAAGGACATGACTTCCATATTTTCTACAGCTTCTATTCTCACTAATATTTTTCCATCCATCCATCCATCCATTTTCATCCGCTTATCCGTTACCGGGTTGCGGGGACAGCAGTCGCTACCCAAATCACATTGCACCATACCAACCCCCCAAACCTTCCTGCGGGTGGTGAGTCCACTGGAAGGTATTAACCGCCCTAACCGGGATTCGAACTTGTCCAGGAGGTGACCCCTGGGGTTCCACACCAATGACAGAGACATTGCCTCTGGGCCAAAGCGCCACAGACTAATATTTTTATGAAAAAAGAAAAACTTTATTATTATTATTTAGTTTAAGTTTTCACTTCTTATTTGATTGTAAAATATATCAGTTCTCAACGCAGGAGCTCATATGGAATAAATAACTCTGAAATAACCTGAATCAGATGGAAAAACTAGAATGTAACGCCTTGTTTGTTTCCACTTTGAAATGGTACAATAATCTCAAATGTTGTTGTTGTTGTTGTTCATTCTCCAGTTATCCCTATGACACTCTTCATTATCGGTGGCATCCTGCTGCTCCTGTTAGCAGCTGGTCTTGTCTGTTACTACATGTCGTGAGTAGTTCTGTTCAAATCACCCACTTCAAATGTACAAGGCTCAGTGCTTGGTACTGTTTTTCCCCCACTTCATACATGATTTCACGAGGTGATACTATTACAGTGTAAAAGTTTTATTTTTATGCTAATCAGATGTAGTTGTATATATCCATGCAGACAGGTAAAATAAAACATGTGACTAAACTATAGCTGGACCTGGCAGTTCTTTACCTGAACTAGGATCTACATAACATGTTATGTAGCATGTCATGCCCAAATAAAATGATGATACAGCGGTCCCTCGTTTATCGCGGTAGATCGGTTCCAAGGTCTGCCGCCAGAACTGAATTTTCGCGAAGTAGTGACACCATATTTACGCGCAGTAAAATGATGACGAGGAGGGTGATGATGACTTTTACTGCCTACAGCCGATGATTGATTTTACGTCTCTCCAGAGGGTGGTGCCATTTCTTGGGGCTCCTCTTCCACGGTCTCCGAAGGTGTATCCGTAGTAGTAGTAGCAGGAACGGACTCTTTTTTGCGGGGCTGCCGAACATTGTGATCGGTAGTTGCTTCCGCTGCTTCTTTTTCCAGTCGAAGAGTAGCTTGTAGGCAGTCATGACGTCGTTGATTTTGTTGCAAATTTGTACCGATCGAACCATATCGTCGTCCCATTCCTGTGACATCTCTTACAGATCCAAATCCGGGATACAGTATATTTTATATATAGTTTCAAAAACCCGCGAAGTCGTGAATCCACGAAAGTTAAACCGCGAAATAGCGAGGGACTACTGTATATTATCTTATTTAAAATCACGTTACACAACACTGATGATCTGATTGAGAGTCCACCTACCATGGCAGGTATTATGGCGAATCAGACTCCGTGTAGTGTTCAGTTGGTTTAAACGGGTCTCTCCCCTCTTGATCTGACGCACTAGCATAGCAGGGCTAGCATCTCACCTGAAAAACAAATAAAAACATTCTGTACAGTAAAACCTATAAAAAACAAACAACATAGACATTAGCCATATCATTTGTTTGCAAAAAAAAAATAGCTGCTAGCTAACTGGCCTCCTCGTCCTTAACTTTGTCTTGTTTGACTCACATGTTTAGTCAGAGAAACATTAGCTACATGATGAGGTTGGGAGAACAAATGTATGAATTTATTTAGAACATAGTTTTAAAACACCAAGTCAGTAAACTGTTGAAACCCACTGTGTTAATACGAGTAACGGGTACCTTAGTTTTGAACTCACCCTGGTCATGGGTTCATGACCCGAGGGGTGTTCCTGTGGACACTTCCAGGATGTGCCTGTAGAACGTGACATGGAAAAGTACATTCAGACGTACTGAACCTTTTGTCCTAGAAATGGCAGAAAAACCCCCATTAGCATTCCAGCTTTTGGAGGATGTCAATGACATCACTGTCGTCAACTGAACAATAAGTGGTTGATATTCAACTTATTAGTAACCAGTAAAGTTATTTTCCTTGGTCTATGTGTGAATGTTATGTCCTTTTACACACCTTTTATCATAGGTTATATATATATGTGTGTGTGTGTGTGTGTGTGTTTAACTCAAGACTTGACTAGTC